TTAGTTAGCACCACTGTGTGCTTCATTTAAAATCTGACAATCCACATTCTCGCATCGCACTTCATTTAAATCTGACATTCCAGTTACCTGCAGCAAGCGCTTTGATGAAGAGAAACTTGGAGGGTAATCCACCAGGACACATTAAACTGTTACAAGTCATAAAACATCTGCACCCAATGGCAAGCTATAAAGCTGAATGGATAAAGCTATTAAATGCATAGCATTGCTGGGCTGAATTCTTCCCCCTGTGAGCACACTCAGCTGGTTCACACACAGACGGTTTTCTCATGATTGTACCATGAGCAGCTCACATGATTATGGTTTCCAGTACGGAAGTTTGCTAGCAAGAGCTGAGTTAGGACAAATTTGCATGCTTCTAGTGAGCACAAAACAGGGAGCATATAAGATTCCTCCAGTATTTACTCAGCATATGATTTGAGATGTCTTTTCTCATCACATCTGCTGTACAACTTTATATAATGATGAAAACACCAAGAATTAGCTAAAATGAAATAATACTCAAGTAGGATGGAAAAAGCCACCAATGCAAGAAAATTGTATATTTTAGAAAGCTGCGGTACGTCTGCCTATCAACCATGTTTATTCCATTTCTTCTTCTGGGTAGGGAAATTAACAGGGGACAAGTGGTGATTCCCAGTTCCAGTTCTGCTCTGAAGTTCAGCAGAGCTACCAGAAACCCACGTGGACTCAAGAAAGGCTCCTACACACACCCTGCTTAGCAAAGAACAGGTAGAACCCAGAATGAAAGGGTCCTGATTTCTTTCTATCCCCCTTGTTTTCAATCCACTCATCTCTTTCTAGCACTGACATGCAACAGAGAATCCATTCAGTGGAAATCACTCAGTAAAATCTGCAATAATCTCTTCCTTGTCCAACAGCCACTTCTTCTTATTTTCCATGTATGGAGTGACATTTTCAATATAGGATACAGTTTAATGCCACCACAGGGTCCACAGAGTCCAGCCTAGATAAGAATCAAGATTTTTGCTTTCCTGAGATTTTCATATTTTTTCACTCAGAAGTAGAATAGCAAAAAGTATATTTCTTGCCAGATATTCTCTAAATACAATCCTGGTAAATCAACCGAAATTCTGTTTTCATAAGTCAAAATTCCTGTAATCTTTACCAGTCAGATTCTTGACACTGAAGAATAATTTCCCCTACAAAATGTTTCACTTCATAGAGGGTAGCATTTTCCAAAATTAAAATGTTAAACTGGAAAATGGCCATCCCACTACACCTACCATATTTCGGGGCAATCTCCTCTGCAAACATTAACTCAGCTACCACCTATAGCCTGGGTAATCACTTAAGCAAACATTCTTTCAGTTGCAATTTCTGAGCAAGCACCTCACAAAGCTGTCCTTTTGCTGTATGTCTATCTTCTTTAGATCAAACAGAAGTCCCAGGCTGATTCTCTGCTCATGCAAGCACAGTTTCCTTCAAGCATACTGGACCACCATTCTGCCTGTGTAAGGTATCTGTAACTCATATCACTCCCTAGGTCTTCATTTGCAGGGTATATTTAAATTTTTCAGATTGCAGCATCTCCAGGGCCAGTCTCACATTGCAGATATCTGCTTACACAGATAAAGCAAGTGCATGAGATTGCATGATGGTAGTTCTGTAATGAAAGCAGCATAGGAATTTAGACAGTATAACACTGTCTAAAGACAGTATTCCTATATCAATATCTTTTACTCTTTCTCATTCTAATTACACTGCCCTTATAAATTCACTAAAATCTTCGTGTTTGCTCCTATGGTTTTCTTTATGAGAAGTTTTGAGCTAAAAAATACATTTCATTATACAGTTTTAATTCTTTCTTAGTAATCACTCTTGCCAATCAGTTTCCAGAAAGAATTGTAAAGTGTTTAGGCACCAGTAAGATGAAGCTGTTGTATGGTCTGCCTTACTGCTTCTGTAGATTCCTATATCACTAGCAATTGTCTTTCACTTACTTACAGTGCAGGCTCTTCACAGACTTTCCCTTGGAGTCTTAGGCACATTGTAAGGCTACTGCTACTGCTTCTGAAAAAGAATTATTAATATTTATTATTATTATTATTATTGTTATTTATTATTATTATTATTATTATTATTATTATTATTATTATTATTATTATTATTATTATTACTATTTTCTGAATAAAGATAATTATTTGAATCACAGCCATTGTTTTTGTATATTCCAACACAGAATCACTCTTTTAATAAAGACCTGTGAACCTAAGCAGTATTTCATACACTCCTGTAGTTCCATGCAAGCATGATGAAACATTTGTCCTTTGAGCATGGCACAAACCAACTATTCACTTATGAAAGCCCACTCTTTTGGAATAAACATGTTTTGGAGAGACACAGATAATGTCATTCACTGTTAACTCGCCAAGAAAGGAATGCATAGTATGTGTTGCAATGAAAACATGCACTTCAGTTACTCTGGGAGCCACAGCAAGAAAATTCTTCATATAAAAATAACTTCAATATGCACACCATAAATCTAAGCAACAGCATGTCTGCGAAAAATACCTGCATTTTTACTAAGGGAAAAAGAACAACATATTATTAAAAGTATAAGAACTTTTGTTATTGCCATGTCCATGTGAATTCTAGACTAGACAGATATAATTTCATGTGTTACAAACAGTTACCCAGGCCTAAAGGAGAACAGTGCACATGAATCACCCATCAAAAATCTAAAGCTAAGGAACCTGCAGCAAAAAAAATTGCTGGCTTTTGGAATACTTCCTTAATGATAACATTGTTTTCCTGAGACTTCCCTGTTTTATGTACCCCTGTCAGACATTTGGTGTATGGTTTATTCTTTTTCACAAACAGGGTGGCATCTCTGCAAGAGATCTCACTGTAACTTCTAGTTTAAACTTTCTCAGCTGGTTGCAATAATGTATCCTTTATAGCATCATGCCTAAAAATTGCCTATGTATATAGTTATATCATTTTAAGGAATAAAATGATTCTGGCAATCTGGAAATAACTTCCAAAATTCCTATTTGAATGTCTGCCAGCCAGGGCTACTTTTGGTATAGCGCAATCTAGAAAGATGCATTAGACTCTATTTTACCTGACCACTGTGTGCTGTCTCAATATGTCTCCTTCATATTGGTTGGATTCAGTGACAGTGGATAGAAGTCACAGTTGTTAAATTTACTCTTTTCTTCTGGTTGGACACAGGACAGAGCTTCGTATCCATTGACACCTAGAACCCTGAAACCCAACACTTAGAGCCCCCAGACATGATACTTAGAACCCCGAAATCCAATACCTAGAACCCCGAAACCCGACACCTGGAACCCCCCAACCCGACACCTAGAACCCCCAGATGTGACACCCCGAAACCCGACACCTAGAACCCTGATACTCGACACCTGGAACCCCGAAACCCGGCATATAGAACACCGGAACCTGACACCTAGAACCCCCAGACAAGACACCTGGAACACCCCAATACCCCGAGACACAACACCTGGAACCCCAAGACACAACACCTAGAACCCCCAGACACGATAACTAGAACCCCGAAACCCAATACCTAGAACCCCAGGACAGTGTTCCTAGAGCCCCAAGTCATGAAACCTAGAACCCTGATACTTGACACCTGGAACCGCCAGACACGATACCTAGAACCCCAAGTCACGACACCTAGAACCCCAAGTCGGGTTACCTAGAACCCCAAGTCAGGTTACCTAGAACCCCAAGTCACGACACCTAGAACCCCAAGTCAGGTTACCTAGAACCCCAAGTCAGGTTACCTAGAACCCCAAAACCCGACACCTAGAACCCCAAGTCGGGTTACCTAGAACCCCAAAACCCGACACCTAGAACCCCAAGTCACGACACCTAGAACCCCGAAACCCGACACCTAGAACCCCAAGTCAGGTTACCTAGAACCCCGAAACCCGACACCTAGAACCCCGAGTCAGGTTACCTAGAACCCCAAGTCAGGTTACCTAGAACCCCAAAACCCGACACCTAGAACCCCAAGTCAGGTTACCTAGAACCCCAAAGTCATGACACCTAGAACCCCAAAACCCGACACCTAGAACCCCAAGTCACGACACCTAGAACCCCGAAACCCGACACCTAGAACCCCAAGTCAGGTTACCTAGAACCCCAAGTCACGACACCTAGAACCCCGCAACCCGACACCTAGAACCCCAAGTCAGGTTACCTAGAACCCCAAAACCCGACACCTAGAACCCCAAGTCAGGTTACCTAGAACCCCAAGTCAGGTTACCTAGAACCCCAAAACAGGATACCTAGAACCCCAAGTCAGGTTACCTAGAACCCCAAGAGATCGGAAGAGCGT